TTTTTTTGTGAGGGGGGGGTTTGTGTGTTTTTTTTTTTTTTTTTTTTTTTTTTTTTTTTTTTTGCTTCCGCAGGGCAGGGGAACACTACTGGACTAGGTGTGATTCTGGTGTATTTAGCTGGAATTCAGGGTTTGGGTTGGAATTTATCTTAAGGGAGCGAGAAGACATGAATTTTTCAGCTATGCATTCGTTTGGGTATATTTTCAGCTTCCCTTGAGGCATACTAAACAGAGGGCAGAACTTGCTCAGTGTGTCAGTTTTATTATTCCAGTCTGCTTGAAAATGGGCTTATAACAAAAATTAGTATATGCTAAACTTCCTTGAAGAATTGCTTTGTTCTAGACTATGTTTAAGTTCTTGTATATAATCTGTTGCTAATTCTGAAATACTAGATCTGACCAGTTCCAGGACCTCAGGGGTGGGTTTTTTCATAGCGAAGATCATCATCTTCCTGTGTTGTCTCCCTTTCTAAAGACAATAGCAGAAAGCTCATAAGGTGTATGTTGACAATTTTCATTTTAACGGTGACACACAAGCACACATGTGTGCACAAAATTGTTCTGTTCCTTTGCTTCAAGCTCCTCCGAAGGTGTGTGCTGCCCTTTCTCACTCGGGGTCAGTAGTACAAAACTTTATGGTGTCTAAACAGTCCGAGTTCGCATATGCTCTCTTGTGTATTGGTTTTTACTGGGAAGAGGGGAAAGAACAAAAGCACAGTTTTGTTGTTGGGGAAATTCTGCAGCCATGGCTGTTTCTGCCTAAGGAAAGTGTGAGAGTAGTGCACGTAGGCCAGTATTTGATTGCTGGTTTTAGTAAGTCTTCTTTCCAAATAAATGAAATTGTAACTTTAAAAAAAGTGTATTGGTATATATGTTTAGACAATTGAAAATGCTGACTATCGAGTGAGATGGGATTAATAACGTCCTGAACTTCCTGGGAATTGAGTATTCAATTGATATTTTAATGACATGTCAAAATATGAAATGCTTACTCTGCTGAATCATAGAAATGCTAGTCTTTATATAGGGATAACATAAGTACAAATTCTGTAGTTCAACGTAGCAATTCTGTTTCTTGATTTTCTTTTTTCCTTGGCTTGCCCATAGAAATGAATACAGTACAGGATTAAACCTTTAAAGAATTCATTTGATCTGGCTTTATTCTGGAGAATATGTGGATCTTGGTGGGTGCATGGTTACTTGAACAAAAAACCACCAACTGTATCTAGAATTCTTTAAATGTGTTGGATTTTTAGCTGGTTGCATATGTGGCTCAGTAGCCCCTCTTCTATCTTTTTTTTTACCTTTTTTTTTTTTCTTAAACTGAATTATGTGCCTGAATTATGTGGTTTCTTGTTTGATACTACTGAAATGTCCTAGAAAAGGCAAATGGGAAGCACTGCAGCAGGATGCAGTAAACATATCGAATGATAGTAGGATGGGAAGCATATGAAAAGTGTGCAGAGCTACTAAACAGGTTGTTTTATTCCTTCTAGCAACTTTTCACACATCTCCCCATTCCCGCTCCTTATGTGAGCTTTGGAGACGTTTGACTAGCCTTTTTATCAGTGAAGCATGCAGTCTGGAGTCTGGTAAAGGCACCGATACCTGTCTCCAATACCATCGCGCCCTGCCCTCCAGCTGCCTCCCACATCACAGGGAGGACAAAACTGTCTGCCGTGGTCACTAACAGGAACAGTTGAAATGCCGCTTCAAGGTTCATTTAGTTGCGTTCAGCTCACTGCTGGGAACTGAATGCTGGTTGGGAAATGAAAAGACTTTAATGAGTTGGGGGTCTTTATGGGGCTGGTATTCTTGGCAGCGATTAACAGTAGGGGGTATACAGAAGGTCAAAAGCTCTTCTTTTGAGGGGTCAGTAGAACATCCCTGTCCGATAAGATTAAACTAATGTGGCTTTTGGTGTTAATATCTAAAGCAGCAGGCTGCTGTAATGTGTTTGGGATGGCAGGCATTGGGGGGAAAAAAGGAAAATCGACAAGTGGTGATTCATTATAATAGAAAATGTCAGATGATTCTGGCAAGTAATACAAGGGGGTTTTATACAAATATATATCATTTTGCATATATATACATGCACATATGTTTTTTTAGAGGTTTTAAAATAACTTTGCCATAGACCAGCTGACACTGGAAATGTTATTTGTGTGTTGAACTGCTACACAAATACCAGTGGCATTTCAGTTGAATATATTACTTTTATTTAAATTTGCTTTTTTCCTCTGTACTTTCTGTATTTGTATAGTGCATTAAATGTGTCTTAGTCATCTGTCTTACTGCAGCTAAGCATCATGTATGAATTTCAGTTTTCAGATTACTTCACTGGATATTTCAATGGACAGTACTGGCTTTGGTGGATATTTCTTGTACTTGGTAAGTGGCAATTCAAAACATGTCTGCTTTGATGTGAAAGTACTTAAAGATGAATCATATCATTGTTAGTAGAGTTCTGTAACATGTTTAGCTATGTGTTTTTCTTTAGCTGCCGATAGTTTCATGTGTTGTTTTTATTTCCGTAGTATTCACAAGGTTATTGGTTGCCATAGTGGAGTTATTGTGTGAACTGTGGACTATTCAAATAACCTTCAGCTCAAAATGTTTTTTTCTGTGTATGTAATTATGTACATACCTGAGACTTGTCACTTACGCTGTTTAGCTGCTTCTACTGATCTAGGGGTGCAGAAGTGTGTAATGAAACTTTGGCTTTATGTAGAGAACATACTGAAAAGTGAGTGATATCTAGTACTTACATGGATAAACCTGAATGTCAAGTACTAAATTTTAAGAAATGTGACTGATCCTGGGAAGGTGGAGTCTGCTGTCTTGCACGTAGGTCACGAAATAACCTTTTCTAGTCTTTTGAAATGCAGACTGCATGAGTAGTTTCTCAGTCAGACAAGAGAATGGCTTCATGCTTTCTGATCACAGTGCTCCCGTGATGTCTGCTTTCTCTGAAGAGGTCTGTCTACCCAGGTTCAAAGTCTTCAATACATCAAATTCTGCTCTTCAGCCTTTTTTTCTTTCTATATTAGGATATGCCAAACACCAACCACTATACCTTTTTTCCTGCTGTGGATTTTGTAATTTGAATATGGAATCTGGAATGATTTTCTTTTACAGAAGTGAATGCTGCTACCCGTTTTATTTTCTAGCTTTGGAAGCATAGTAAACTTGCTGATTCAGTAGGTGGCACTCTTCCCTTTGAGTCAGTTGACTCAAATGGCTAACAGAAAATGTGAGGATGAAATGTTGAGTAAGTTTAAAAAAAAACCACAATACTGAGAACCCTGACTGTTTGACTCGCTATTTATCTCACAAGAAATGCCAGAAATCTGACATGATGTTACCTAAAACTTTCTCTGTCTGCCTTTTACTAAAGTTTGAGGGCGTTCATTAGACTTCTTAATACTTGATTTGCTCTACTGTCGTGCACTTGATTACTTGAGATATACAAAACCTGCAAATGTTTAACACATCACAGCATTGGTCCCTTGAAGGCTTTCATACTCTGAGGTTATTGCATTTAAGCAGGAAGTGAAACGACTCTTTACAGGTATAAACATCTCCAGAAAAATCTTTAATTAAAACAAACTCTTGTGCCTGAGATTCAGATTTGACACTTTTTTCACTTGGATGAAAATAGTGTGTTCTTCCCCTTACATTTTCCCCCACTGTGTCTATGGAAAAAGCTGTGCGTCTGTACTTCCCCTTTTTAATAGTCTTTTGCAGCACTTGTTGACAAGTTAGCTCACTTAAATTTAAGAAAGCCCTATTTTCAGTCTTAACTGCTTGAAGACTGTTTTTTTTTTTTCCTGTAAGTCACAAAGTTTATAATGTGGCTTGGAATAAAAGGCACTGTGAGGCATGCAGTACGCATCCAGCAGTCGTTCACTTGTCTCATGAATGTTTTGTATGACATACGCCAACAGTTATAAACTGATAAAGTGGATATACTGAGATTGCTAGAACACCATAGAAGGATTTAACTCAACAGAGCTATTTAGCAGGACATGTAGAAGTTTTATCAAGTTGTGGGAGCTCTGCCAACCAGATCTGTATTTCATTGTTTCGGATAACTTTCCCATCAGAGCACGCAGAGTAGCATGTCCTGTGCTGCTTCAGAAGTGAGTGAACTGAGTTGGATTCTTTGTTTTGCATGGTCCTTTGACATCCTTGAGCCCACCTATTGCCATCTAGCTCCTCTCTTCTGGTGGTCACCCATCTGTTTCTGCTCCCTTCCTTTCTTTCAAGACCTGGAAAACTCTGCTCACGCTTCACGTGCAAGTGAGTGGTTTACTTCCAAGGAGTGGTCGTGTACAGTGAACAAATTGGAGAGGCACAATTCTAATTTTTAAATTTAAATGTTAGCCAATGTGTCTTTTTGAGGAATACAATGGAAAGTGGGGTGGCTTTTTTTTCCTTCTCTAAACAGAGAAATATAAAATACGGGTTGAACTTGGGGTTGTTTTCCAACATGTGTAATGCAGAAAGTATGCTTCCAGGCTCCTTAAGAGCTGCCTGCCCACCTTTTGCTGTTTCACTGCTTTTCAGTTGAATGTGGGACTATCTCTGGTAACATTTGGGTAGTAGCTTTTGTAGTAGACTTTTGATCCAGACCTTAGTGCTTTCTTTTCCGTGCAGAATTCACCTTAATCCCAGAAAAGTGTCTGGCTTAGGTCAAAGTTCCAGTGGTTAGCAGAGCATTCTCTGTGTTTGGGTTTGGGTTTTTTTTTGTGTGGGTTCTAATGAGGCTTTGTTTTTTAAAAAGCAGAAAGAGTAAATAAAATAAAAAATTTAGAAGTAGAAAGCATTTAGAGAAGAAATGAACACAGGAAAACAAAAAAAAGACAGACTCAACCTGGAGAGCAGGAATAAAAAGTGCATCACACAGCAAAATATCAGTGTAACCGTAGAGATTTTTTGTTAGCATGTAAGATGATGAAAAGAATGAAATCCTTTGCTAAACTTGTTAAGCTTCAGTTCAGATTTTCATTTGAACCTTTGGAATCTTAATGTGTATGTATACATATACACATAAGCATATATCTCCAAGGTACTTATGTGTTCATTAAATGAGGAGAATTGCTCCCTAGGCTCATGTTTCTTTCCACTGGAGGTGGAATTCAGATTTCAGCAGATCCCCCCTGCCCCCCAGCTCTTCAGGCAGATTTTTATCTGCACTGGATTCTCCCTGATCCAAATGGTGAATGGATTAATCCGTTGAAGTTTACTTAGTGGAGGAAAATGAGCCAGAGAGCTGTGTCCACTGTGCAGCAATGTGTTTTTCTGGGTTTGTTTGTTCAGATGTCCGATGACTCTGAATTGATAAAATGATGTTGATAGCATCATGCTAGTGATTTCCATTGTTGCAACTGTGACTTCTGTGTGACTGTTCAGTAGCTCTTGTTCCTCTTATCAGAACTGGAATATTCTTTCAAATGCAGTTAAATTTAAATATTGAAAAATAATCTGAAATGTGGAGTTGACGAGAAAATGTAATCGTAAAACATTTTGAGTAATTTTCTTTGAATTGACTGTTCTTCATCCTCCTCTTGGACAGGTGCGTTTTCCTGGATGCTTAAATCTAAAGCCATAATCTACTGTCATTATTGGCTTGTTGCTAGAGCAACCTGTATGGTCTTTTTAATTTTTTTCTCTCCTCTTTTGACTTGCAATACATTTATCTTGTACATTTCTAAAGGCTTGTTTTGTGGTTTGGGTAGTTTTCTATCATGCTAGTAACTTACTTTAAGAATTCTACTTGAAAAGAATGTTCAGCATGTATTCTTTTCTTTTTAAGATCTTTCATGCAGTCTTTTTAGCAGATGTTACTTGAACCCAGAATGACTGTAAAATTTCTGAAAAGCCTTCCATGAGGCTGTGTCCTTATATCACAGTGTAACAGCAGAAGCCTTGCGTGTTGAATTTGTGAATTATGCGTAAAGATCTCGCTTCACTTTGTATAACCTAGATTTTTTTAAAAAATATTTTCATAAGAAAAACATGGGATAGCATGTACTGAAGTTGATGTATTTAATTTTGTGCGTTTTCTACACTTTCAGGACTCCTCCTGTTCTTTCGAGGCTTTGTTAATTATCTTAAAGTCAGAAATATGTCTGAAAGCATGGCAGCTGCTCACAGAACAAGATTTTTTTTCTTATACTGAAGGTAAGCAGTTTTTAGTGATAAGATTATTTCTCCCAGGAAAACTGAGAGGAATGAAATACTTTTAGTAAAAATAAATTATCAAACATCTGTCACAAAACAGAAGTCACATGGTTTTTGAATGTCATGAATGTCGTATATATTCTACATGGATTTGGAAATATCGGAAGTCTCTTGAAGTCATGAAATTGAAAGTAAATAACGCATCGTTGTTGCCTCCAGTCCCTCCTGGAACTAATGTTCAGCAGCAAAACCTTAGTGAGCAAAACCTTAGTGAGAAACGGCATCTACTGCCTGTCAGGATACTGTGCTTTTGTGTTGGAAAACTGGCTGCCGTAGTCAACCTGTTGTCAGTAAGTTAGGAAGCACTAATCTGCCTGCATATTAAATCTGATTGACATGGGTCTGAACAGGCAAACAATAGATGTGTATTGTCTCTCTTTACATGACTGGATTAAGACAGTCATGTACAAGTATGATTATTGTGTATGCAACAATGTACTTTATGTATCCTTTAGGTAGCTGACTAATCAGCCTGGCACATATCCATTCTTTTTTGGCTTACATACTTTTTATCCGTTAGGTGGATCTATTGGACTTCACTACGTAACTTAAACCAGGGATCTCCGTTTGTGTTTAAGCCTAGAAATAAGTACTGTAGCATTTTCATTACTTTTCAGTTTACTTAAAATGCTTAAATACTGTATTTTGACTTAACTGAGAAGCTGTTTTCTTGTAATAAAGCAGGTTTTCTTAACTTTTCTCCAAGATTGGTCACAGGATCAGTATGAAGTAACCAGCGACACATAACTGAAGCCTGAAAAAAACTGAGACTGTATTTGCCTAGAAAAAACTTTGATTTTGTTTAAGACAGTGATACACAATTTAAAACAGCTAATGATAAATATCTGTGCTATGCTATGTAGTTCTTGATCATGGAAGAAATCTATTAACGTAACTGTAACATAGTATTTCTTTTTAATGTGCCATTTTGTCCCAATTACTCAGTGAGTTAAATAACTAAGGCATATACTGCCTTTTAGTAACCAACCTAAATTGGCATCTACGTGGCAGCATTTCCTTTTTACGATAGTTACATGTCGCTCCTTTTCTTAGTAATGTGGTAGTCTCTTCAGAATACTGAAATCTGTAGGGATGAGACTGAAAGTGTCAGCTTTCAATACAATAAAGTTTAGAAATGGTATTTCAAAATTAATTGTTAGGACTAATTGATATTTGAAAACTGTGGCTTGAAGAGAGTGTAGGGTAACCTGGTCCAGGATTCTTTGCTCTCCTGCAGTGAAAGTTCTGCTTTGGGACAAAACACTATTTAATTCAGCACTAACTGAAGTTAATGAGTTGTCCTGTCTGAGTCCAGTGGCTTTGAATTATTTCTTTACCTGTAAGCATCACTGAGGTGTACTTGCTGATAAGGTCTGTGGATTGTTTAAAGCACTGGATGCATGAATTTTTTTAAGGAATCCTAAGTATTGGAACAAGAATTTTACTATCGCTTTTGAATGTCCTTGTTCTTGCATAGACAGGTAGCTTCCCCTACAGTGACTAGTAGTTTTAATAATTAGCAAGTATTACCACTGCAGTTACAAAATATTCTCAGGTGTTCTCTTGAAATCAAAACAAAATAACAGTAAGTTTCCACTCTCTTTCTCCCATCCTGACATGGGGGGAAAGAGGCTGCTTCTTTGCTGCTTCTGGGTTTTATGTGAGTTAGAAGTGCTCCTGCTAGTGAATCACTGTGGTGAACTGAAGTACAACTCTCTCTTTATCTCCAGACTGCATCGAACAGACATTCCTTTCCTATACCAGTGTGAAACTTCCAGATGATCTGTAGCCTTCCGAGTTGATAGGATGGAAGACTACTAAAACCAGAAGACAAATTAGTGAAGATGTGGCTTTCAAAACGAATGGCAGGATGGTTTATGCTCACATACCAGTTCTGGTCATTCTAGTAAATATTTAGAATTGCTGCCTTTTGTTTTAGCACAAATCTGTATGTGCTTATTAAAAAGATAGTATTGAAGTAAGAACAAACCATCTGTTAGTATAGATTAGGTACAGGCAGACTCGGTTAATCTGTGCTTGTTGTATCTGAAGGATTTAAGTGGTAACTTGTTTCGCAGCGTGTATGTACCACTGCCTTGTTTATCTGAACTTGTGAGTACAATGAAATGCATTAAATGATTCAGATTAGCCAGTTCAGACAGTTTTTTACGTAATTTAGATTCCTCTAATGAGTGTGTACAACATTTTGAAGTTGACTAAACCCCAAAGTTCCTTCTTGTCACAAACTTGTATTCACCAAGATTTTATCAAATTCAAACCAATATAGTGGTTTGCAGAAAACTGATACTCCACATTGAGTCCCCTGTAAATAACTCTGCATAAATGACTGTTTAAATTGCTTCTTAGGAAATATGTCAAAATATATTTTGTAACAGCGTATTCTCTAAATTTTCTTTAATCTTAGAGCTACATACATATCTTTTATTAATTGGCTATTAAGGGTATAGTTACTATTAGATGTAATTTTGGAGGTAAAGGCATTGAATTGTTTGTCTCAACTTTCCTCACGTGAATTATTACTAACTGGTTTGGGCTTGAGCCTGAAAGTCGTTATTGGTACACATGATCCCATTAAAAGATAGAGTTTGTTCATGTTGGCAGGGATGGACAGCCTTACATCTTTAGTCCTTGGTTATGCAGTTGGATCCTCGTAGGTGCACCTTTGTTCCTGAAATATAGAGCATGGCAAGTGTATTACCTGGGTTAGAACACTGGCTCTGTTTAAGAAGTCTTGAGTTCAGTATAAATACAGCATCCACCCGGAGGGCTTCTGAAAAAAAACCCCAACATATAGCTATCTTACAGCGCTTGTTTAGAATAAATACTTTGCCATTTCCTAAGAATAAACTAATTTACATGAAATGTGATTTTGAAAAGCTCTGAAAATAGAAAATGTGTGTTGCACCTCTCCCAGTATTCATTTAAGGTATGCCGTTACTTTCTTATAAATATCATCTCTTTAAGGGGTACTGTGTGCTGTTCATGCATGTGTGGTTTCCTTTAAAGTTTGTGGAATTTATGCTTCTCTTTAAGTATGAGAATACATCTCTCAGTCCTTTGTACAACTGGAATCTCAGTTGCAAAAACACATTGATTGTTGGTTGCACCTTTGAGGAAAAAAAATACATATACTTTCCTCCAGTTTTTTTTTATGTTAGAATTTTGCCTTTTTTATTACTAACATTGAAAACAGTGAGGTTTATGTTGTTTTAAGCTAGTACTGTATTCAGTTCTGTATCTATAATGAATGTTTAAAATATACATGTGTAAACTGGTCAAATTATTCATTTTCTTAATGAAAGTGACTAAAACTTTAGGGGCACCTACACATCCCATCTTTTTATGGAAAGAATAAAATTCAGTATTATGTTCAGTAACAGACTGGGATTTCCTTCTGGACTTATCTGTTTGTTAATATTCTTTTGCATTCATTGTCCATATGAAAAAGCAGATAATAAAACATTGCTTTGTTTTGCTAATTAAGACTTAACGCTTTTTGGTTTTTTGTACTTCACATTGAAAAATGCACACTGCAATATTTGTGTCAGCATGGGATTATAGACAAATTACTTGGCAAAATAGGCACTAACCACTCTACGCTGCTTCTTTTTCATCTCATGTTTTAGGGCAACAAACTGTAAGGATGTTTCTTTAAGGATTTAATAGGACTGTGTAAAGCATGCAGTATTGATTCATTTTCTGTGTTTACCAATATCAACTAGTACTATTGTCCAGCTATACCAATTTTCCCAAATTAAGGAGCAGTTTTCTGATGGAATTATTTCTGTTGGCTCCACGGAAAGCTTCATACAGATACTTGGTTTTGTTGTGGTGTTTTTCTGGACTAGCTTAGAAAAAGTCTCATTTGAGCAGGAAGAAGATGTAGGGTTAAAAATGTACACGTTATCTAATTCTCTAAAGTTGATGCAGCAGTTTGGTAGCCTGAAATCTCATCAGCAGGAGGAAGGGAATTGGAACACTGCTTTCAAAGACTCTGCAATCTATTCCAGATGTGTCAAATGCCGTATATTTTCCTTGCTATTTCCTGTGAGCTTGGTTAGGAGCAGCTGGCTCTGTGGTTTAGAAACACCTGGCCAGCTTTGCTTTGTGTCTTAGTCCGGGGGGTGGTGGGGGAAGCTCCAGTATTGCAGTGAAGTTGACTGTAAACAGATTTTTGTATGAATGCAAATAAGGCTTTGAAGTTTGGGGCAAAAACAGCTGGGAGAGGGGAGATGCAGTGAGAAAATCCCATTTTATTCGAGCAAATGGCATGAATGTAACTTCTTTTGGTTTTATCATCTACTTTTATTGATGTGGACACCACAGGAAGATGGACAGCTTGGATACTACTGAAGTAGCCCGCAAATGTATTAATGCATTTCAGAAATGATCCATCATTCACACTTCCAGTCCTCTTACGCAGAGGAGGTTGTCTCCAGGCTTTCACTTTGCTGTCTCGCCTAGAGTATGGACACCATCCTCATCCTGCAACACCTTTTAACCTGGTTTCAACACCCTACTCTTTCTGGGTCTACTTCCCTCCCTTTGAATGATGACAACAGGTGAGGAAAAGTGGGTTTATTAATGTGCTATCCTAACATCAGAAAGCTTTTATTCTCTTTTCCACTTTTTGAAAATGCTTTCCCATAATACTCTGCATTAGTCCCCCTGCTTGCATTGTTTGCTTTAACAAAAAGTTCGTCTCATGAAATGACTATTGCTTCCTGGGCTGTTGAAGAGAAGGTGAATAACCTCTGGTATGGAAATAGAATTGTTAAGGTTGGAAAAGACCTCGAAGATCATCAGGTCCAACTGTCAACCCGACACCACCATGCCTGCTAAACCATGTCCCAAAGTGCCACATCTGCATGGTTTTTAAGCACCTCCAGGGATGGTGACTCCACCACTTGCCTGGGCAGCCTGTTCCAATGCCTGACCACTCTTTCAGTAAAGACATTTTTCCTAACACCCAATCTAAACCTCCGCTGATGCAACTTGAGGCCATTGCCTCTCATCCTATTGCGAGTTACTTGGGAGAAGAGACCAACACCTGCCTGACTACAACCTCCTTTCAGGTAGTTGTAGAGAGCAGTAAGGTCCCCCCTCAGCCTTCTCTTCTACAGACTGAACAACCCCAGTTCCCTCAGCTGCTCCTCATAAGACTTGTTCTCTAGACCCGTCACCAGCCTCGTTGCTCTTCTCTGGACATGCTCCAGCACCTCAATGTCCTTCTTGTAGTGAGGGGCCCAAAACTGAACACAGTACTCCAGGTGCGGCCTCACCAGTGCCGAGTATAGGGGCATGATCACTTCCCTTCTCCTGCTGGCCACCCTATTCCTGATACAAGCCAGGATGCCGTTGGCCTTCTTGGCCACCTGGGCACACTGCTGGCTCATGTTCAGCCGGCTGTCGACCAGCACCCCAAGATCCTTTTCCTCTGGGCAGCTCTCCAGTCACTTCTTCCCAAGCCTGTAGAGTTGCATGGGGTTGTTGTGATTGACATGCAGGACCCGGCACTTGGCCTTCAGTCAATTGTAGTGTTATTCTACTTTGGATTCTAAAGTGCTCCTCTGTTCCCTGAGGAGTCAAAGCTTGGGGGTTTTTGTTTTGTAGGAAACTCGCAACACTTACTGCAGTTCTGCTGGTGTTCATCATGACATAGGCATATGTTAAATGCAGATGCACTGGCAGCATTATCCTGTGGTTAAAAAACTTGAAGTGTATGCATTCAGGAGACTGAAATGTTTCTGAATTCTGACTGAAAGCTGACGTGATCTGTTGGACTTGGCAGGTTATATGTGGCTTGGCTTGGGTCTCTGCCTGATTCCCCCTTCATAAGGATGGAGAGTGCTGCTATGCAGTATCCTCTGGATACGTCACAGGTTCAAGCTAAGATTTCTGTGTATTAAGCAGAGTTTCACTGTGAAGGGAGCAAGGGAAAACAAGGGGAGGGGGAGTGCCTGTGCCTCTAACTCTGGGTTTGCAACCACTGGTGTAGCCGGTGTTTCTGGCAAGACGAAGGGAGCACATCCAAGTGCTGTCCTCACCCCCTTCCTCCCCAGGTGACCAGCCGCTTCGTGTACCTATGTAATCTGTCAAAATGGCCCTTAGGTTTTCTGTTCTTCCTGGACACGACTGGAATAGCAAACTCTCCTCCACTTGGACAGAGAGGAGGCGGCTGGCTGGCAGCGAAGGCGCTTGGCCAGCGGTTGTTAGCCTAGCTGGCCCCATGGGAAACGCCTCTTCCCCGGCCTAAAAGTCTGCAGCCCTGTCTGATTATACAGTCTGCATGGCACATGCAGCCTTCTCAGCTCTTGCAATGCTGAGGTTTACGTGAACGAAGAAAGCAGTGTTGTCAACTTCGTATTTTGTCACAAGCCTCGTGATGCTGGGCAGCTTGCTTACCGTTTTACTTAGTGTGGTAGCTACACCAAGTTCACTTCAGGGGGGAAAAAGGTATGCGTATGTTCCCTCCCAGCACATTTTTTAAAACCTCTTAGATGGGTGTGATGCATTGATGAATACTTGCTCCTGATCTTGCATGGACCTCTCTGTAACTGCCTGATACAAAGGGGTCACTGAGATTTGTGACTGGCTTCTAAGGAATTACCGTTTTACTCATCAAACTTGCACTTTTTAAGAGAAACTTCTGCTTTCTGAAAATGTTATCACAGCAACAGCTGTAGGAGGAACATAGCCCAGAACACTAATAGTTCTTCCTAATAGTGTTGAATATAATACATTATTTCAGTGAATGAAAAATTTCACGTACTGTGTTAAATTTTTGATGTTGGAGTGTTTTTTTACTTGCTTCCAACATTGAATAACTTTACATTTAACTTGCATGAAGTTTTTCTTCTTCAGGGGACGTAGACAGCTACATACAGCTGCAGTTCTCAAAGGCTGGGTCACTTAATTTGGTTCTTCTTAAAGGGCTGTGCTTCTTTGAGCTGAGAACACAAAAATTACTTAGGGAGGTTTCAAGA